TGAAACAAATTTCCAGCCCAAGATAACCTGGATGGTTGATCAGAAAGGTGTATCGTGCCAGGCGGGCAGAGGAGCACAGTGCGGTGTGGGCACACAGGCCACAGTGAACCTGGAGCAGGCCTCAGAGGACTGAATCACGGGTAGCTGTGGAGGTTTCCAGACTTCTCAACCCACGAACGCCAAAGACAACTTGGAAGGTCAGTGGGAAAAGTCTGTGACTGCGATGAGAGAGGAGCTAGGTCTCAGCCACAAGTCTTGAGCGCGGCCCGGGGCCGCAGCTGTTTCCTGAGCTTCTGGCCCACAGACTGAGGGGGAATCAAGTGGCTGATCAGAGGGGGATTGCAGGGATCTCTTTGCCAGTGCTGAGGCAGGAATCTCTTGCTTTACCTGTGCATGGATCTGGGTCACAGTTCTAAGGGGTGGTCCTGGGGGGAGGAGGAGCGCTGACGTGGTAGAGCTTGTAGTGGCTGTGGAGAGGAAACACCTCACCCCTTATCATACTACCTTGGAAGAACTGAAAATTTTCAGGTCCCTAGAAGTATCTCTGAAAACAGCTGTACAAACCCCTGAAGCTTGGGACAGTATATTCTCCACATTGGAAGCAGAATTTTACCTTAACAAAGAATTTAAAACTCAAATAATTGGCTGGGATCATGAGTAAGCAGAGCAAAAAGAGTCAGACTATATTATCTTACTTTGGTGACAAAGATGATCAAAACATACAACCAGAAGAAGACAACAAAGTCAAAGCTCCTACATCCAAAGCCTCTTAGAAAAATATGAATCAGTCCCAGGCCTTGGAAAAGCTCAAAAGGGATTTTGAGAGGCAAGTAAGAGAAGTAGAGGAAAAACTGAGAGGGATGCAAGAAAATCATGCAAAACAAGTCAATAGCTTGCTAAAGGAGACCCATAAAAATACTGAAGAAAATAACACCTTAAAAAATAGCCTAACCCAAACGACAAAAGAGATCCAAAAAGCCAATGAGGAGAAGAATGCCCTAAAAAGCAAAATTGGACAAATGGAAAAGGAAGTACAAAAGATTACTGAAGAAAATACTTCCTTAAAAATTAGAATAGAGTAATTGGAAGCTAGTGACTTTATGAGAAATCAAGATACTGTAAAACAAATCCAAAAGAAGGAAAAATTAGAAACAATGTGAAATATCTCATTGGAAAAACAACTGACCTGGAAAATAGATCCAGGAGAGAGAATGTAAAAATTATTGGACTATCTGAAAGCCATGATCAAAAACAGAGCCTAGACATCATCTTTCAAGAAATTATCAAGGAAAACTGCCCTGATATTTTAGAACCAGAAGGCAAAATAGAAATGGAAAGAATCCACTGATCTCCTCCTGAAAGAAATCCCCAAAGGAAAACTCCTAGAATATTGTAGCCAAATTCCAGAGTTCCCAGGTCAAGGAGAAAATATTACAAGCAGCCAGAAAGAATCAATTCAAGTATTGTGGAAACACAATGAGGATAACACAAGATTTAGCTAAGGGACCGCGGGGCATGGAACAGAATATTCCGGAGGGCAAAGGAGATAGGATTGCAACCAAGAATCACCTACCCAGCAAAACTGAGTATAATCCTACAGGGGAAAAAATGGTTATTCAGTGAAATAGAGGACTTTCAAGCATTCTTGATGAAAAGACCAGAGCTGAATAGAAAATTTGATTTTCAAATACAAGACTCAAGTGGAACATGAAGAGATAAACAGGAAAGAGAAAATCATAAGAGACTTAATAAGGTTGAACTGTTTACATTCCTGCATGGAAAAATTATATTTGTAACTCATGAGACCTTTGTCAGTATTAGGGTAGTTGGAAGGAAAAAAATTATATGTATGTATATATAGATATAGATAGATAGATAGAGGGCACAGGGTGAGTTGAAGATGAAGGGATAATATCTAGAGAATAAAATTAAGGGGTGAGAAAGGATTATATTAGGAGAAGGAGAAAGGGAGCGGTAGAACAGGGTAAGTTATCTCACAAAAAAAAAGAAAAGTTTCTTACAGTGGAGGGGAAATGGGGGAAGGTGAGAGGGAATGAGTGAATCTTATTCTCATAGGATTTGACTTAAGGAGGGAAAACATACACACTCAATTGGGTATGGAAACCTGTCTTATCCTACAGGAAAATCGGGGGGAAGGGGACAAGAGGGTAGGGGGATGATAGAAGGGCAGATTGGGAAAGGGGGTAATCAGAAGCAAATACTTCTGAGGAGGGACAGGGTCAAAAGAAAGAACAGAATAAATGGGGGGGTGGGATAAGATTAAGGGAAATAGAATTAGTTTTTCACAGCATGTCTACTATGGAAGTGTTTTGCATAACTGCACATATATAACCTAAAAAAAAAAAAAGAACTAGGCTAATTTATACAATGACAATAAAACTGCTGTGAAGAAAAACAACTCTGAGAGACTTCAGAACTCTGACTGATGCGATGATACAGCATGAATCCAGCAGAATGAAGACAAAAAGCGCCATCCTCACCCTCCAGGCTTAACGTGTCAGACGAGACAGTTCTGGACATGGCCAATGTGGGCATCGGTTTGGCTGGATTATGCACATCTATTATAAAACTTGTTTTGTTTTGACTTTTTAAATTGTTCAATGGGGAGGAAGAGATTAAATATTAGTAAAAATAAATATTTTTGAAAAAAGACCATTCTTTTATTTCAATTGAGATCCAGGTCTTTCAATCAATAGGCATTCATTTAGGCCAACTGATCACTATTATGTGTAATGCACTGTCCTAAGCATGAGGCATGCAAACAAAAAAAAATGCACAAATTGATGCCCATAAAGAACTAATATTCTTTTGAGATAAAGATATATAAGTACAAAGAAAATACAAAGAAAATAAATGACTAGGTTGGCTAAAGGTTTATCAATTTTGTTAGTCTTTTCAAATGATTAGCTTTTAGTTTTAGTTATCATTTGAATTGCCCTTTCAGTTTCCAATTTATTTCTCTTCTAATTTTAAAAATTTCCTCTTTGATATTTATTTTCACTTTATTTGCTGACTTCCTAATTTTCTAAATGCACATTCAATTCATTAATCGTCTCCTTTTCTGTTTCATTAACGTATGTTTTTGGATATATAATTTCCCCCTGAGGATTGCTTTAGCTGTATCCCAAATTTCTGGTATATTGTTTCATCATTATCATTTTCTTTCACATAATTATTCATTGTTTCTATTATATGTTCCTTGCCCTACTCATTATTTAGGATTTCATTAAGTCTCTACTTGAGTCTTTGTCTTTTGTGTATGTTCCCCGAACTGACTACTATTTTTATTACATTATGGTCTATAAGGGATGTATTAACTTGTTTGCCTTTTTACATTTATTTGCAGTATCTCTGTGCCCTTGATACTGAGTCAACTTCTTTGAAATTTCGATGTGGTGCTGAGAATTTAGTGCACACTTTAGTGTCTGTGAAGATTTACCAATTGCTAAGTCCCAGCTGACAGAAATGACTTCGTGTTTAACAAGTGACTGACCTACCTATGTACCAGGAAGTTCCTACAGACTCAGTCAATATCAGTTGTGTCAGCTACATTTAGGCAAGGAATGCAAACCGCTCTACCTGTCAAAATCAGTTTAAGAAACTGCAGTCCAGACCACATGTTGACTGACGGTCCCTAAGGTCCTCTTCCCACTCAGTCCCTGTGAATCCCCCTACGCAACTACGACCTTCAGAGAGAAAGGCAACATTACAGCCAGTACAATAAAAATACAGAAAGACATCATACGTCTTTTGCAGTAACGGGCAGGAGATGTGTCCTTAACCAGACAACAAAGGGTTGGGGCAATTAAGCATGGAGCTGAAAAGCTTCTGCACAAAATTAACGAATGCATTAATGCATTAATTAATGCATGTATCGATGAGGTTGAACGGTAAAGATCTTTGTAACACATCTCATATCCAAGACATATATACAAAACAGACATATATGAGACCAAAAGCCATTCACCAATAGAAACTCGTCAAAAGATATAAACAGTTCTCAAAATTAAGAACTGCAAACTCTTATCGACCATATAATGAGAAAAATGCACATTCAAACAAGCTGGAGGCTTCACCTCAGACCCTGCAAGGTGGCAGATGACAAAACTCGGGAGGGATAAATGCTGGAGGGGCCGCATCAGCAAAGGCAGAAAGGGACAAGAACAATGAACGAGGCTTACTAGGAAGTAAGAAAGACTTCTCTGAACCAGGGCAAGGGGTAGGGGTGGAGGGACAGACCCAAGAAAACAAGACCCTCAATGGCTACAACGGGCGCCTGCCACGGAAGACCAAAGGTCCAGTCACAAAGAGAGGAGAGGGGCTCTGGGGATGATGGGATACCGGGGGACATCTGGCGACATAAAAACCAAACCAATAAAGTTTATTTTTAAAAAGAAAATGAATTCACAGTAATTCTGGGGAGGAGGCAGTTGAGAGGAGTTCCGCAAGAGGCACTGTGGGCGGGCATGCCAGGCAGGCCAGGGAGGACTCCAGAGGCCATGGGGTGACACTGGAGTTTCCTGAACAGGGCCCCATCTTCCCTGCTTGCTAGAGACTTAACCAGGGTTAGCTAAGGCAGGCACGGCCCCTGCCTGCCTCCTGAGGCCTCCAACAGAGAGATGGAGACCATCCACGCAGAACAGGGGCCAGTCAAAGTCAGTGAGAAGAGGGGCAAGGAAGGCTTCCTGGAGGAATCGACTCCAAAACCTTAAGAAGAGTCTGACCAGAGAGCAGGGGGAGCTCAGAGCCTGTGGCCTAAGGGCCAGCACAAGGAGGCTGTGGGATTTCCATCTGAAGAAGGCCAAGACCTTTCACCTGAGAAGGAGGAACAAACACTCTGTCTACGGCCATAAATGACAAGAGTCTCCCCACAATGAAGTTCAGACCCAGCAGGTATGTCAGGTTGCCCACAGCCAGCAGCAAGGACGCCTGCCACGCTCCCCAGAACACAGACACTGAGGCGGGAAGGGTGTGCTCACCTATGGAGACCAGGTTCTGGCACGTCTCCCACATCACGTCCCTGTACAGGGCCCTCTGGGTAGCATCCAGGCAGCTCCACTCCTCTCGGCTGAAGTCCACGGCCACGTCCCTGAAGGTCACTGATGCCTGCATCAGACACATTCCTGCTGGGCCACGATCATCCCTGCAAATATTTCTTTACTACCTACCTACTGTTGCCGTCTGAGAGATTGAGACCCCTCAAAGACCAAAGTACAAGACAGGGTCATCTGGAGTGAATTCACAGACTCAAGCATTCTTGGAATCAAGCTGGCAAAGATTTATTGTTATGCTATACAGTGGGCAAGGATTCTGAAGGAACCTGCGACCTCAGAGGGGTGCAGTTTAAGTTTATATAGGATAAAATACAATAAAACATGTGCCAAATATGCTAACTAGGTGATTCAGGGTGGGATCAGGGAGTGGCTAAGGAGTGGTCACTTCTGAAAGGAACATGCACTTTTTCTATCTACTGGGCAGGCGTTTTACCCAGAGTTCACTAGGAGAAAAGCCCACACGGAGGTGTGGTTTTAGGCCAGCTACATCACTAAGTTAACTAGTGGTCAGGGGTAACTGAGAGTTGTCCAGTCTGCCACCAGTCAATGTCTTGTTTGACAAGATAGATATAGGGAGTATACATATGTCTTAGGTCTAGAATACAGATAATGAGGAGTCCAGGATGTAGATAATAAGGTAGGGCGGTAGTATAGATAGTCCAGTGGGTAAGAATATCTTTATGACCCAGTGCAAAGCCAATTCAAACTATATTCCTTCAGGTGCTGTTTGTAACTGCACCAGGCAGAGAGATAAGGGTCTTGCTGGGGTCCACTCATGAGTAATTGCTAGGCACAGTGTCCTTGGGCTGGGGAGAAAATGCCAGGGATAGTGTTTCTAAGGCTAGGGAGAAACACAGTCATGGAATTGGGGTCCCAGTACCATCGCCCAAGCACTCCATCACCTAAAGTCCGCCTTACTTTGGATTAGACTTTCAGTAACCTACAGATAGCCTTCCCAGATGGCTCAAGCTCCTTCTCACAAATAATCACCCCTAATCACCACCTTATTCCTAAAGTCCCAAACACATGACAGAATCAGCATTCATCTGACTCTTTAGATACACAACTTAACACAGAAACCACATTGCAACTACTTATTTCTACCCTCACATTTATCATCGTCCATGATGATCAATTTATCCTGGACAGACTTATTAGAGACAGCATCCCATAAATGTGTAACAGGCTACGTTATCTCCCCAGTTCCAATGGCAGGGTACCTTCTCTGGAGTATGGAGAGCAGCAGTGTCATTCTGGGCACTCCACCCCTCTCCATGTCATTATACCACTTATTAACTACACTTCCTGAGGCAGCTGGATGGTGGCACTACAGTACACAAAGCACCAGGCCTGGAATCAGGAAGACCCGAGTTCAAATCCAGCCTCTGACACTTACCAGCCGCATGGCCCTGGGCAAGTCACTTTGCCTTGGTTTGCCTCGGTTTACTCAGTCAGGATAATAATAGCACCTACTTCCCAGGGTTGTCACGAGGATCAAATGAGATAACATGGTAAAGCACTGTGCAAACCTTAACACACTCCAAAGCTTGCTAGCGATTATGACCATCTAATGGTCAGGAAGTCTTCCTTCACATCAACCATTTTTTTTTCCCTTTTGCTGTTTCCGCCTTCAGGGAAGCTAATAAATACATCGATTAATTCTTCTTCAAGACGGTCCTTCCAATGCACTGAGAGGACTGGGGTCCCCCAGATCTTTTCTTCTCAAACCTAGATCCCCACACTGAATGACATCCCATGCTGGGGCACCTGCTCTGGCCTGTCAATCTGGTCTGCCCACCTGCAAGCTGCCCACCACACACTAGAACCCCAAGTACTATCCTCCGCTCCTTCTCCTGGATCGTCCTTCTCTTCCTCTGCCTTTCCTAAATGCCCCCTCCCCCATCTCCCCCTACTCTGTCAGGTACTACATTCTATCCCTGGTCTCTGATCACCAGGGGTGTGGCAATGGCTAGAAAGCACTCTGCAAACCTTAAAATGCTATGTAAATGCCAGGTATCATCATCTTCATCACTATTATTATCATGGTAGTGGTAGTGCTTATCATTATCCTCTAGTTTGCTGATGACTTCATTCTCTGAGCTCAAGAGATGTTTTCAGGGCAATACAAGAGTATTGCTGGTAAATGTTAAGAAAAACTACTCAGGATCTCTTGGGGGAAATGTTATAGCACACACCTTTTGGTTTAATTTGCATTATTAACACTTTCTTAAGTATAAACAACCAGCAAAACAATAAATCAAGCCCTGACTTTAGCCATTTCTGAAGTGTAAATACACAAAAAATGCAATGATCAGCGAGGCAGTTAGAGTGCAGTCCAGCATAGCCCTTGCTTAATCTGGGTACATATGCATCCCTCAACAAAATGCAAGGTCTTTGGAAGAAGGGACAGTTTAATTTTTATTTAGGTGTGTCCAGGGTCTGGAACATAGTAAGAACTTAAAAACAAGTTTGTTGAATTGTAGGAAAAAAAAAATCTTGAGTTAGAAAGGACTTTCAGGTCACCTAGTCAAATTTGCTGATCCATTTTTAATGCTTAACTTCTGTCCTTCACTCAATACAATGATCATAACGACAACTGCTTTTGGAATTGTGTACATTAGTTCTAAACCTCCTAATTCCTATGATGGAGACATTCCAGTTTGATGCAGCTGCCTTCTCTAGGCCATTGGTCAGAGCAGCCAGAGGCTTCTGCACCAGAGTGACTGAGCCTGAGGAGCTGAGATGGGACGTGGGCAAATGGAGACCACCGAACATTCGAGGGAGAAATGATCCCTGAGAAGACACGGCCTGAAATGGGGCAGAAAAGAGAACTCACAGCACTCCTGGCCATCGGGCTCCCAGACATCATTCTTTCCTCAGCCTCGATCCTCAGATCCGTGTGAAGAGCTGCTCCTTCACAAAGCTGAGCTGGAGGAGAAAGCAGCCATGAGGGAGACCCAGCAAAGCCCCCAGCCGCACCCTCATCTCCCTCAAACCTTCCACCGGAGATGAACTTTCTTGACCCTCCATCCGCCTGACCTGCCCCTCTTCCTAAGCTGCCAAACCCAGATGAACATGCACCAGAAATTCAAACCAACTTCACCTGAGCCCTCCACATACTTCCCCATCCTCTCATTTGGGGTTGGTGCAGACATGATCTTGAGGAAATGACTGCTGATTGACTAACTGATTGATTGGATGGCTTGCTGGTGACAGTGAATCTGAAGCAGATAAAGGCATGTACAAATTAGCAGAGAGGACAGGAGAAGACATGAGTTGTATTGGCTGCTGTAATTGTCCCCATGGTCCCCTGGGGTGCTGGCCAATCCCCCAACACGTCTGTAATGCTCACCTCTCTGCCCAGGCCTTCAGGCCAAGTCTTCCACAGTAACCCCTCCCTTCCCTGGGCAGGATGGGCAGGAGTCCCTCACTGAACCCCCCCAGCAGTGGCAGGGGCTGCCCTGGGGCTCTGGGGAAAGGGCTCAGGCAGGAGGCTTTTCCTGGGTTAGGGGCCTATGCTCGGGCTACATAACCTGTACCACCTGCACCTTCCAGGAAAGTGGGGCCGGGGGAGGCCACTGTGGCTGGCAGTTCTCAGGGAGATCACGGTAACTAGGAGTCCTGGACTGGGGAGATCTGTGTTCACAGCTGGGCATGGGACTGGGAGCTCCACAGGCCAGAGAAGGGAAAGCCTGGTCACACAGTGTAGTTCAGGGCTGGAGGCAGCCCCAGACCCTGGACACACACAGGGGCTCCTCGGGAGTTTCATTCATTCGATCCGGATTCATCCAGCCAATTAACGTCACTGTGGGACCCCCATGCCTGAAACCAACTTAGGACCCAAGGCTGCTACTGCCATGAGAGGGCACCGTGCCTGCCAGACAGGCACACACAAAGGTGGGGGAGAGGGGATAAGCCCTCCCCCACCACACACACTCCTGAACACCTCACCACACTCATTCACACTCACACTTCTATGGGCACACTGACCTGCACACACACACACACACACACACCCCTGAACCTGCACATTTACACAGAGCGCTAGTACTTCACCCACACCCATTCACACTCACACTTCCACTGGTACACACACACCCCTGAACCTGCACACTTACACACACAGAAGCATAGATGTTTCCCCACATTCATTCATACCCACACTTCTATGGGCACACTGACTTGCACACACACACACACAGACACATACAGAGCCCTGAACTTACACAGTTACACAGTACACTAGCACTTCATGCACACTCACACTTCCACCTGCACACACCCACACGTGAACCGACACACTCACAGAACACTAGCACTTCACCCACACTCATTTGCACTGACACTTACACGTGGATATTGACCTGTACACACACACACACACACACACACACACACACACACACACTCTCAGGCACACGCGCCCACACCAAAGTGCCAACCCCCAAAGCACACGTACCCTAGTTCTCACACCTGGGTACACTCTCAGATACACACACCCACACTCCCGCCCGCTCCACCGACGCGCATGCGCAATGTCTTCCTCACCACTGGCGTTTGGTCCTGGGGAGCGAGGTGGTGTCGGCTTAGACCAGAGGAACGCGCCTGCGCACTGACCTACTCATTCACTGTTCCTCCTCCCCCATCCCAGCTTGGTGTAGCAGGGGTCCGGGAACAGTGGCACTGACAACTGGCGCAGGCGCACTCACTCACTCACCGTTCCTCGCCCCCTCAAGTAGGCGGGAGCTGGAGGAG